AGACACATCCTTATATAATGCTTCCTTCTATTTTTGTGTAGCTGCTCAGTTTTTTTTCTATCCACAGGTGTGTTTGCTCCCAGTCTAAGTTCTGGATTATTCTAACATCCTTTCCAAATAGTTTCCCTAGCAGTTTAAATAGATCCTTGTGCAGTACTTTGTCAAATGCTTTTGCATAATCTATAAAACACAAGTTCTGGATTATTCTAACATCCTTTCCAAATAGATCCTTGTGCAGTACCTTGTCAAGTGCTTTTGCATAATCTATAAAACATAAGTCTACATCCTTCTGCATTTGTAGTCTCTTCTCTGATGTCCTTTTGATCATAAATATTGTATTTCTTGTTCCGGTGTCCTTGACAAATCTGCACTTTATTTGTCCTATTACCGATCTAATGCTGCTTTACACTCTATTCATCAGAATTCACATCATTATGTACGTCGCCACTGTTGCACATTTCATTTAATATTTGTGATCTTGTCGATGCCAAAATCGTCTAAAGCTAAGAACATTACTGTTACTATCTCATCAGATTACTGCTTTGTTCTTATTTATCATCTCCAGTGCTAATCTTACTTCATCTTTTAGTATTTCTGGCCTTTTGGTATTTTCCAATGTAGGTTTCCCTCTCGCACTGCGAAAAATGTCTTTAATGCATTCGCTCCATGTTTGGAGTATTTTTTTCTTTTTTTTATTATCAGTCCATCCTTTGATTTTATAGAACCTATTCAGTGGTTCACTTTTTGCCCTGCTAATTCTTTTTTTTCAGTTCTACTTCAGTATGCACAACAGAATTTCTGTAACATGAGCTACTGAAAGTTAGCAAGTTGTGTCCCTTTAATTGAAAGATTATGACAGTGACATCCATATTTATCATATTGATTTATTAAATTTAACTGACTTATATTTATCTTATTGTAATTATTATTAAATCAGAAGTATTATACATTCACAAGACTTATTGGGGGTCAACATATCAGGCCTTCAACTGCGAAGTGGACCTAAGGGCAGAAAAACCAGGCAAACTCCAGGATGAGATGCTGACAGTGACACATAAGATTCCAGCACTGTCATGTCTATCCACTCTTTGATGATGTCTGATCAGTTCTTGTTTTGCTGTCTCCACTTGCGTCTTCCTTCAACAAGGACTTAAATGATGGTCTTGCAGAGGCTGTTATGCTATGTGATGTGACCAAACCATACCATCTTCCAATGCTTAATGGTGTTGAGGAGAGATTTCTGTCAGCCCACAAGACTTTTGACCTTGTTCCATAGATATCTATTGGTTTTGCACTCCAAGTAGGAGATGCGAACAACCTTTTACAAGCATTTGTTATCAAACTCCTGGATTCTTTTTCCTGGCTGAACCAGGAAAAAATATAGATATTATTATAGATCAGAGGTTGGTAACCTATGGCTCTCGTGTACCATGCAAAGCAATTTCCAATGGCACACAGCTGCAAATGATACCACAAAGTATGAACTAATAACTACTACAACACAAAGAAGATATTTACCGGTTTCAATTTTAATATATGCTATATAAAATATATTGCAGAACAAGTATATTGACCTTGACTTGAATAAAAATACTTATGCTGTTGGCACACTGAATGATTTTAAAGCCCTAAGTCGGCACATAGAAAATGTTGCAGACCCATATTATAGATATTAACAGCTTTAATTTCCCTCTAGCAAAAAAAAAAAATAAAACAACTTAAATATAATAACTTGCACCTAATAATTAAAAGTTGCACTGCATTTAAACTGGATGAGTGTTTTTATTTTATTAAAGCCGATTTTCTAATAATTAAAAAAAGAAAAAAAAGACTAAGAAACCGTTAACCATTCACCATTTTTTGAATCACTGCCAAAAAAACAAAAAAAAAAAAAAAAAAAAGTCTGTAGTAATTTGCTGTTTATAGATAAACTCTTTAAACTTAAACTTAACAGAAATTCTTCAATCTTAAACTTAAAATAGCAGTGATCAGCAACCCCCAGACCACATCTGGCCCGCAAAGGATTTTTGTCTGGCTCACCAACTTAATATCTGGATACTAATTATCTAATTAATTTGTGGAGCAAGTGGCAGAAAAAAAATCATTTAGAGTTAATCGACTTACAAAGTGACGAATTTTTAAATCATAATTTAATTTTGAACCAACTGCTGACTTCTACAAGGAACATGTTTTGCCAAACAGAAAATTTAAAAACCTATTGTATATTGCGAAAACTTATGTTTTCCTTATTTGGAAGTACATATGCATGGAAACAACAAGTGCCTCATTAATAATTTTGTTTGTAATAAAGGAATTTGCATCTTTTGTTGTGTTAGTTGTTATTCCTGCAGAAAATAAGGAACCTTCTTTAAATAAAATATAACATTAACTTTGCTGTATTTTCCTTAAACCTCCAAACCAAGGTAGCTTTTTGGACAAAGAAGTCTGAGGCCAAGACAGTTTATTATAGGACAGTTAATATCGTGACCTTCCCCTGAGACAAAGCATAGCTTTCTGGCCTACTTACTCCAAAAGGTTGGCGACCCTGATTTATAGCAAAGAGGATTCTAGAGTCTATAGGCAATCTTTAACTTTCATTACAAGAAAGAAAGAGGTGTCGAAAGAAAGAAAGAAAGAAAGAAAGAGGTGTCGAAAGAAAGAAAGACAAAGGTGTCGAAAGAATTTTTTTTTTCTTGAAACCACCATTATTATAACTACCTTCACTCCTCAGCAATGCTTATTGTTTTAAAAAGTAATAATTACAATTGTAATAAAACTATATGATGGAAGTGAATTTATACATTTTTTTGTTCTTGAGAATTAACAAAAAATATATTAAACAGTATTTATTAGATTGTTATAAATATAAAATTATTCTGGTAAATAAACTTTCTCAAAAAATATTATAATCGTATTAAAACTAATGTAATTTACACAGAAATATGAAAACAAATTTTCATTCATAAATTTATAAACATTTACTAAATTATTAAAATATGTGAACCAACTCTAATGAAATCCTTATTATTTACCATTTCATAAAGTTCAAATCTATTGGCAATTAGTGTTTTGCTAACCATTCCAGTAAACAATCTAATAGTGTTTATAATTTTTGTAGTCAATTTTCAAGAACAAACAAAATGTATAAATTCACTTTCATGTTTATGTTATATTAAAATTATTATTCATTACTTTTTAAAACAATAAACATTGCCAAGGAGTGAAGGTAGTTAAAATAATATCAGTGATAAAGGAAAACCATCCTTTTTCTTTATAATTAACTCTAAATTAGGCTAGGATGTTGAAACTATTTAACACATTAGTACATGGCATTCAACTTAAAATCTGCTAGCTCTAGAATAATAATTAACAGCAAGTGAGAATATGTAAAAAGAGCTAAATTTTAAAGAAATTTTTGAGTGATGAGCTAATTTCATCTTTATTATTGAGGGTATGATAAACCCTTCAGAAAGAGAAATTCCTTCGGGCCCAAAGGGTGCTAGTAAATTAGTTTTGATAAAGACATGCAACGTTCAAAATCAAGAGGGTTGTCTGAAATTGTTGTTCTATAGTGTGCAATACAATAGTAATAAAATAAAATAAAAAGATACTTACATAAAACATTCAAAACAAATCCAGCAATATGAAAATCATTAACTTTTCGGCAACAAATGTGGCTAATATTCAGTGCTTTCAAAATAAGAGAAGGCGACAAAAGGTAAAAAAAAAAAAAGGTTTTGTGCAAGCAGAAAGGACAATACTGGTCGAATGTAAAAGCAGGTGGGTGTTCACGATTGACAGAGTTGTTTCCCCTGTTTAGAGTTGCCTCCCCTGAAATAAGTTTTGTTATTACTTTTTAATTGAACCTCACATTTACTCAGCCATAAATGTTTATTTGATAACATCTTTTTTTCTGTTTTTTTTTTTCTGATACCAGGAATAAATTAAGATTCTTTTTGAACGTCTGGATACCTGCACTTTGAAACAAAAACTTTCTATTTGAAGCCAAGGATTTCTAGTCAAAAAAATAACACAGAGAACAATCGCTGAAGAGGTCATGTACAATCTTTATTTGACTATAATTATTACACTTTTGAAGAATAAATATTTAGGAGGGGAAAAAATTAAAAATATTTTGTGTATATTGAAAAGGACAAAACACAAGAGAATGAAAATGAATTATAACCACAGTTAATACAAGGAAGAAAAAAATTGTGGGTGAAGGGAAACATTCTCTGAAAGATATACAATGATAAATATTTTACAAGTATGGTCAATAATAAGTCTTGTGCTTATTAAAACAATAAAAAAAAAATCAGTCAGGGTTTTCATTTTGTGCCTTCAGTAACTGGGGTCCATAGATTCCATGTCCATTTTAAATTCCTATCTTAAAAATGAACACTGCCTCAGTTTCAACTATATATATATATATATATATCTATCTTATCTCAAATTTTTTAAATGTAAAAATAAAGATTAAAAAAAAAAATTACTTACATACATAAATTGTAATTATAAAAAACGTTTGCAAATTTTGGGAAAAATCTTTTTATATTTTTATTTTTTTACATAAATAGGGAGTGGCGGGCCTACATTTTTGGGGTCCTGAAGCTTAAACAGATATGGGGAACACCTTTGCAACCAGCATCAATAGATTCAAGGATCCAATTGTTGAAATGTAAGCTATGAATAGATTCTGGTGAGCTCAAAATCTTTGGGGGTTTCAGTATCCAAGGAAATTTTGAAATTTGACCAATTACAGGAGAATTTTGAGGACATATAAAATTGGGTATTAGAGCATATTTTAAGGAAAACATTAGCAGCTTCAACCAATTTGCTTATGATTTGATAATATTAAAATGGCCTTATTTTAATAACAAACACTTTTTTTTTGTTGGAAAAAAAAAAAAATTTTCTTCTTAAAAAAAAAAAATTTCTTATTAAAAAAAAAAAGTTGCTTCAAGGGCCGCTTTGGGATTAGGGGACCTCATGCTTGTCCTTCATAGTAGATCCGCCACTGTAAATAGGTAAGTTAGTTTAAATTAGAGAAAATTAGTTTCTAAAGTTAGTAAAGAGCAAAGAATTATTGGCAGAGTTTAATGGATTCATTACTACCGTTAATTTGATGGACAAATTAAAACAAAGGATGATGAAATTGTTTTACTAATAAAAGAAATTAAAGCATTATTTTCTAAAGCACAAGGCGTGGGAACCTTCAAAATGGTAGATTTGGTTTAGGGATACAACATCTTAAACTATACCAAGCTCAACAGATTTTGTCAACATCCATGATGCTATAAAAACTGATAAAATTACTGTCAGAATTACATGGAAACTTCTAACCAGTAGTTTGCCATCCTAGACCAGCCTCTACATTCTCTTTTACCTGACTGCTTTTTCACACTTGCAATGCATCTAATAGGTTTATGTTAACCAGCATCAGATAGGTTTAATAACACTTTCACATCAGTTGTAATATTTCTAATTTCTTTCTAAACCTTCATACGGTACCAAACAGTAAATGTAATAAATTCAAAACCCAGCTCTATATTCTTTACATTAGTTTGCATAACATAAATACAGTACAAGTAACACTTTAGTTATTCATTTTCTTCATGTTGATATATATATATATATATATATATATATATATATATTTTTTATTTAAAACGTGTATTTTAGCATAGCAATACAATACCAACTAAACAGATTTTTTAAATTTTTCCTTTAAGATTTTATAGCTGATCTTTGAGTGATTCTTGAACCTTTTCTGAGGTGAACATTAGTAAATGAAAAACGTACCAATAATCTTTGGGAATCAGCCAGTTATGTACCATGCATGATACATACTTAAGCAATCATGTATCTTTCAATACATGACTGATGAGGCAGATTTTTTTCCCGCAGTAGCTTGCCATTTTTTTCTGCGGTAGACCAGTTGCCATCCAAAGCTATAGAACCCGGTTTATCCTGCTATTTGCCTATAGCTTGAGAAGAAGAGGATTTATACCTTTCTCAAGGGTATTAGCACATAAGTGAATGGAATAGATTCAATTGGAATTTGAATTCAGCTCTGATTCCTCAATCAGAGCCACTATCCATTAACAGCACTGTGCCTCCTGAAGCCAAAAAATACATGACCGTTAAGCATGTATCATACATGGCACATAACTGACCAACTTTGGGAATAGTAAACCAAAATTTCCTATTTTCAGATTTCATGACTAATATCTCCTTATCAAATTTTTTAAGTGTGTCCCAGAGTTTTAGTTATTCTACAAGTGTGTCCAGTAGCGAAAGAAGGGGTTGACAAACACTATATTAAGGTACATCAATGTTTTGATTTTCTTTTACAGCACAATTCCAAAGTTTACTTTATATATGCATGTAAAGACTATCCATGATTCCACCAGATTATTAATATTATATATAACTTACTACTAACCAGTTGTATCTCGTTTCAAACATAACGGTGGATATAAATATCTGGCAATTTTGAAATAGTTTTAACTGGATCTTAAAGTCAGCAAAGCTGCTCAAAGACTTCAGGAAATGCAAAGAACACTCTCCAACAATAATGCTCAAAATTAGTTTAAACATATTAAGGATGGTTATTTGGTCCTTGAAATAAGTGAACAAACATGGCATCTCAACTTCAGTCACTTTCTCACTGACATGACATGGCCTCCCTCTGTCTTTTCTACAAATATTTTCATGGTAACTGTTCTGATGAACTTTCTTCCTTGGTACCTCGGCTGCATGAATTTAAGCATTCTACTTGATTGGCAAGTAGGTCTCATTGTTTTACTGTTGAAATATCTAGATGTTATCATAAGTTTTTATTCTAGTAGTTTTCCTTTCTCGCACTTCTCTCCTGTGGAAGTTTCTTCTAGTTTCTTGCTTCCCTGCCACCTATGTTCTTCAAAAATTTAAATTCAACACTAATCACTACCTTTCGTCTTCTTGAATCCTACTCTTTTATTGTCCTTTCTCCCCACTATAGTCTCTTCCATTTCCAAAAGTCCTAGTGGTATTACTGCTTTGAAATTATTAAAAAATAACACCCCCCTCCATCAGTTGTCAATTACAATGCTTTGAAAAAAAAATAATTGTGGAGAACTTAACACTTGTAGTAAACTTTCAAAAGAGTTAAAGTTATCAAAAGATACTAAAAGCAGAACGTTGCATATATACAGAAACCTTCAAGATGTTCACAATAAACTCTTTGTTGATTATCCAATGAAAATACTTCTGATTCACTACAGTAGCTTTTATTAAAAACAGTTTTCATAAATTTTTGCATATATTTATAATAAACCATTGTACTATTTATTTATCATATCAGAAAATTCTAGCATTATTAACTTATAACACACCATTTAATTATTGGCTCCAAAGGATACTGGCAAAATTCAAAAAGTTTACCAATAAACATGTAAAATATAGTCAAATCTGTTAGTCTTGAAAACAAGTTAAGAAATATTCAAACATTTGGTATTGGTACCCAAAAGTAATACAATTTGGTTGACTGTCATTAATTAGTTTTAGGATTGTATATTATATGGAATATGAAAAGTGATGTGTATACTTTTTCCATAAATCAGAAATATAGACCTTCTACAGTAAGATCGCTAAGGAAATTTATTATTATATAAAAAAAAAAAAAAGGATTTCAAACAAACAAAAAAAAAAATTAGTAGCATTCAGAAAACAGTTCAAAGAGCCTAAGTACAAAGGTTTTGTTTGGAGTTTCTCTCTTTTATCAAAAGCTTAGAAACATTTCAGTTTTATTTTAAAAATCATGAGGAATAATTATTTTTCTTAATTTCTTTTTCTTCACTAAAAAACAAATAAGTTCAAAATTAAAATTTTTTGAAATTAATTTTTTTTTTTAAAATTAATAAAAACGTTAATATTTTTTTTAAAATAATAAAATCTTAAACAAAAAAAAACAAAAGAAAAATTTTCCAGTTAACCTTTTCCTGTTGTATTTGAGTCAGTATTGTCAAATTGCAACTTTTCTGGAGTCAAAGGAATTACATCTGTAAATTGTGATATTATAAACGTCACATTCAGTTTTTAAAGATGCAAAAGCCTCAAAGAAATTTAAAATATTTAAAAGATTTTTAAAATTAAAAAAGAAAAAACAGTGTGTGCAAAGCTCATCAATTTTATATTTGTCTGGACATTAATGAATTAAAAAAATAAATATATATATATATATATATATATATATAAAAATTTATTTTTCAATTCACCGCACCCCATCGATGCAATAAAAGAAAAATATCAAAATTTTTATTTTAAGTCATTTGGATTAATGAGGCAGAAATTCAGATTGGCAAGTCACAACCCAACTCTTTTCATTATTGGGGATGATGTGTTACAGGAACTTTTTCAGTCATGGTGGGAGGAGAAGAAAAAAAAATTAATTTTCATAACAATATTCTCTAATGTTTCTCAACTGTATTTTCTTTGGATGTTCCAAGATTTGTCAGAAAACAAAACATTACATTGAGTCATGAATAGTTTCCGTTTTTAGAAACTGATTGTAATAATGAATGTACCATATTTGGGGTACACAAACCTGCCTTAGTTCTTGCACAACAATGGCAGTAAACACAGTGGATTAAAGAAAAAAAATGTTGTCCACCATGACAACTCAAAACTGCATTTAGTAAGAATACAGGAAGAAATGTCATTGCAAACAATGGCAGATATATAATTGAATAAAATATAATTGTACTTTATCAGTCAAAGAATAAAGTTGATAAAAAAAAAGAAAAACGGAAATTATTTATGACTCAATACATATAAATGGTTACAATGAAATTTAAAAAAAAAAAAATATATATATATAATATTAAAAATATGTATTCAGGAGAAGGCAAAAGAATAGTTGCTGTGAGAAGTATGGATATGGTAAGGATTTTGGTAAAGCCTCTAAGTGGGTAGTAACCAATTGTGGGGGTGGGAGGAAGCAGATTTAGAAATAAGGCACCACACCTCTTTGGCCCCTTCTGTTTGCACCTGCATTCATACCATTATCAGCATTAGGGAAACCCTGAAAAATAAAAACATTAGTACACCATATTAAATAGGATTAAATACTGAAATCCAGGAAAATTTCATGACTTATAAACTATTATGAATGATCAGTGTGTTTTAGTTCTAAATTTACCAAAACTATAGTCTCTTCCACTGCCAGAAACCCCTTCAAATCCTAGTGGCATTATTGCCTTCAAATGATTAAAAAAAAAGAAAACAAAACATCAGTTGTCAATTACAATGCTTTAAAAAACAATGTAGAGAAGAACTTGACACTTGTAGTAAACTTTCAAAAGAGTTACAGTTAACAAAAGATACTAAAAATAGAACATTGTAAATATACAGAAACCTTCAAGAAGTTTCATTTTGATGGCCGAGATTAAGTGATTTGTTTTTTATATGCTTACCAACCTTTTGCAGGTTATTTAAAATCAGACAATATTTTGGGATTCTAAGAATTTTTGGAGATAATGACTTAATGATACCAGTCCTACTAATTAATCCATAGTTGAGGGGAGAAGAGCTAGATTCGTACCTTTCCCAAAGATATTTGCACACAAGGGAATATAACAAAGCCACCTGAAATTGGAACTCAGCTCTCCGATTTCCAATTCCAAACAATTATCAATTACACCACCCAGGCATCCAAGTTTAGAGCACCTGCTATTCCCAACTAATCATCCATCTAGTTACTGACCAGGCTTGACATTGCTTAACCATTCCAGTGATTGTACGAGAACTGGTGTTTCAATATGATATGTCTGTAAGCATTTTAATGGCCTTGAAGATGAAACTGAATTTTTTAATACATATATTTATTTATTTTTTTAAGGTTCATCCTTTGCAAGGCCTGGGGGCCTACTTGTGGTAGAGGGTTGCATTTGAAGGCCATTTGTGCGTATAGGAGTGGAAGATAATGGTTAACCCTAACCAGGTTAAGATTGTAGTGATCAGGAAAATATCTTGTTGGGAGTCGGTTCAACAGGGCAGTGGTTCACAGGAAGAAGCTGCCTGAGTGGAACTTTTCTCACCGATGAAATATGGAGGAAATGTGGGTGGTTTGATACTATGTAAGTGGCATGGCGTGTTCTTGCCATGAAGGTTTGACTTGGCAGCACCAGGGAATGTAGTTTGTCCAAGCACTTTCCAGGGTAGTAGTGGTAGAGCAGTGAGAGGCTTACCACATCCCATCTGTGGGAAAGGAGTTAAAGCGTGGAAAATAGTTTGTCACCCACAAGGGCTTGGAGACACTTTTAAACTCTATCAAAGCTGGAGAGTGAGGTCTGGGAAACTCCCGCTCAAATATGACAACAGTACTCCATTTTTGGCCTGATCTAGCTGAATAGCAGGAGGGGTCAGGTACTTACTAGAGCGCTACAGAGAGCTGACCGTTTTACCTGCATCCTTAGCAATGAATCATATGTACAACTACCACTTGGTCAGTTGTGAATTTGAAGCCCAACAATCTTTCAAGGCACAGTGCTTCCCCGAAGACCTCTGTTCATCCAGATTGGTGGTAGTTCAGGGTCAAGAATGTAATGAGCTTAGTCTTCCAGGTATTGAATGTAACCACCCAGGTTTTAGCCCACTGAGTAGTATGTGCAAGATCGGAAGAGCATTCAGTCACCAATCTCTGACCATCGAGAATTTTAGAGTTGCGCCCATATATATAATCCTAAGGTCAGCATAAATGTTTACAAATGATCAAAAAGAGAGTTGGTCCAAGGAGTGACCCCTGGGAGAAGCCTGCGTTTATTTTATGTTAGCCCCACTGCCTTCTCAAAAGAGCAATGGTGAGTAAAAAAAGATCTTTTAGGCCTTCAGAAATGGTACCAGCATTCATACTCTGGGAGAACCATCAAGAGAACGGTAAATAAGTTTTAAAAAAGAGAGAATAGTAGAAAGGAAAACTGGATCAGGAGGTCACAACAGGAAGAAGGGTCATCATTTCAACTTAGATCTAAAGAAATCGATTAGAAAAGATCCAACTCAATCCATAAGACGTTTGGCACGTGAGAGAGGAGTTTCACCTATGAGAGTCTAAAGAGCGATGAAAAAAACTTGAAAATGAAATCGTACATGAAACCTGTGAGGCACATTGTTACTGTAGGTTAGAAGGTTAGAGAGGGTGAAGATCATCTTGAATAAGTTGGAAAATAATCCTGGAATAATATTATATATATATATATATATATATATATAAAAACTTAATTTCAATTCTTCATGAGCTTCCGATCCTTAGATGTAATTAATGATGAACATATCATTTTCGTTTATGATCGATTTCATCCTGATTTTTCTGTTGTTAAGCTTAGAGAGTAATTATACATTCTTATTGCTCAAAGTAGAGTCCAATAGTGTTATAAAAACTGGGAGAATTCCAGTAAGATATCTTTAATCATTTCTAAGATACAATGGTTCAAAGCTTGATCTAACATAGGGACAATTATACTTTTACATGATTTGGACTATTTCGCTGTTATACCTTGTGTGTGTGTGTGTGTGTGTGTGTGTGTATAAATGCTTTTTAAATAGTCAATTTTTGGATTATTTTTTTTTTTTTTTTTCAAGAAATGAAAGAGAACAACAAAAAAAACAAAAAAACAAAAGGAAAACTCCCCATCACCAAAACAAGCAGAGCTACAAATTATCAACATGCAGCAAAACAAACACAACAAAAGAAAAACATGCAATTCTGAAGAAAAATAAGATCTTTTTTCAATTTCTTTTAAGGAATACTTTGAAATGAGTCCTCATTAATATTCAGTGAATATTTTAGACTAACATCACCTTCATTGTTATTTTTGTACAAAACTGAGATAAGATCTTATTAATATTCAATAAAGGTTTCAGACTGTCCACATCTTTCTGATTGTCTTTTAGGATTTCCATTTCTTTTCATTCATGATATTTTTTTTCAGCTCATTCTTCTTGAAGCTGAAATCATTTTTTTTGTCAACCAAGCGACAAGCAACAACACTTAGCTGCGGGCAAAGAAATTCTACTTACATAAAATCCAATAAAAGCAAAATAAAAATCAATAAATAACAAACATAAAAAATAAATGATGTGAGGGGTGGGGGTAAGGAAATAGCAGGCACAGAATGGGTGTGAATTCTAGTAGAGTTCATTATGTTTATTTATGCACAAATCCTGAAAATATACAAATCTATTTCTTCATCTTCCCCTAGTTATGGGTCAAATAGTAGAGCAGATGACACTCTTTTGCCTTCGTTTGCAACTAGTCTAGGAGAAGGAAAACTGAGTTCAAAACCAGAGAAAAGTCGTTAATAAGCCTTGTGGCACATTATATACCTCAGTTTTGTGTATTCAATTCCTTTGAAAAGCCTTCACCACCATAATCAAATATGTACAGAGTCTGACTGTTTAGTTCTAAAAATAACGAAAGAAGAGTTCACACACACACACAATATATTGTGTGTGTGTGTGTGTATTTATTTTTTAATCATTTCACCCCAAGCAAGGCAATAATGCCACTAAGATGCAAAGAATTACTGGGAGTGAAAGAGGATGAGAAGACACTAAGAAAAAAGATAAAGGACAATATAAGAACAGGAGTTTTCCTTCCAGATTCTTGTGGGAGGATTGGCAGAGGAGGAGAATGGGGTTTTTCCCCATCAGAGTAGATGCTGCAGTTGTAGTATCTGTTCTGTGCCAGAGGCCTTCTCTCCTCACTTGTGCGTGTGTGTGTGCAAAAATATATAGAAAATAGGAAAGAACTCGTTAGGTAAATAATCCAAAGTTCTTTAGTATTTTTGTTATTATTTTTTAAAAATAGTGCTCAATACAAAAGTAGAGCATAAATATATTTATTTATTTAAAATTAAATTTATTTATTTAAAAATATGATTCCATGTAGCATTGGAATCATATTTGTAAATAAATAAATATATATATATAAGTTATTTTAATTATTTTATTAATTTTTTTAATTGTTATTTTTAATGCTAAATACAGTCTATTTTTAATATATTACTATTAAATATATATTCATGTCTTAATATGAACAAGTAATCTCCCTTTAATTATTTTTTTTTTAAATTAAAATATGACTATTCCCCACTCAAATATATATATATTTTTTTTTTTTTTTTTTACAAACATATATAAATCCCACTTATTTTAATTACCAAATATAATTTTCAAATTGTAAAATAAATAAAAAAAATCTGTAATTCCAGCATAATATATAACTATACCAACATTTTATATATCTGGTTATCACAATTCAAAATTGCATAATGCTCAGTTCATACATAGCACCTGAGGATTGCAGTATGCCTGAAACTCAGTTGTGCTAGTGGTGAGGAATAATATGGATATTTATTAATTATTTATCTCCAAGTGCGTACTGATAAGTTCTTGCCTTGTGCTACCTTCCAAACATCAGATTTTATTTTATATATATATATATATATACTTTTTTTTATCTTTTGTTAAGTGGACCACAACCTTTCCAGAATCCCTTTATAGAGATGCTGGCCTGATAGTTAGATATCAAGAGACAATGAAAGATTAAAAGATGAGTAGGAATGGAAAGACAAAAAAAAATTACAATAAATTAAAATTCTTTATGAAGAGACAGAACAAAAGAAAAATAGAAGAAAGGAAAATAATTGTACATTCCTCATTTGTTTTCGACAGAGAAACCTAATCCATGTTTGCATAATATATGAATAAAGACATGGACAGGCAATGATTTGAAGGGATAAGGGAAGCAATGAGAAGATACAGATAGAGAATGAGAGAAAATCAGAGGCATGCAATAATGGATAATGTTTGTTAAAACCTGTGGGAGTTCAGCTATTTTTCTGGTTGTATTGGTTATGCTTTAAGCTTTTTAGAAATTGAAATCATTTTTGAACGCATCTAATTATTGTATGTTTTTCATCACATTTTTCTCTTTCCAATCTCAGATTTTCACAAATCTGCCTTTATTTTGAATTGTCATCTAGTCAATTTTTTTTTTTTTTTTTTTTAGCATTATCATCATTTATATGTCTAAAATTCTTCCCCTTGGAATGAAGTGCATCTCTTTTGAGAATCACTGTACTAGATAAACCACCACAGAATACACACCTGCATTGAGATAACGAGAGAGTGAAAACAGTGCACTAAAGAGAAAACGGAAAACAAAAGAGAGAGAGAGAGAGAAAACAGAAAACGAGAGACAAAACAGAGAACAAAAGAAAGTTAAAGAACAAAAAATTCAAGAGAGCATTTTTGTTTTTTTGAAGTCAAGACAAATTTAGCAACAACAAAAGAAGTCCCAGCACATGCAACTAAAAATAGACATGCCAGTCACCAGAACACCATCATCATCAGCAGCAAGAACAGTAAATAAAGAGGTTGTAAGTCCAAACCTGCAGGTGCTTTCATGAGGTCTGCTGCCAGAGAAGTGTATCAGAATGAACTGGTTTGAAAGCTATGTACAGTGGATGCATACTGTAAGACAAAGTAGGTTGAACAACAGAACCAAATGGCAATAAGAGATAATAACAGACAAAAACAAAAAGTTGCAATGAATGAACAAAACATAGAACTGACCAACTTTCACAAAATTTACATTCCAAATTTAATTCTTCTCAGAGAATAATTGTTTGTATTTGATGTTTGTCACATTGCCAAGGTTGGTTTAAATTACGCACAATGATTTAAAATTTAAAAAGAGAAAAAAAAAAAAAAAAAGATTCCATTAACTTATCAAATTGAACTGTCGAGTTTGGCAATGAAATGTTCAATAAATCTAAATCTCATATTTATAAATCTTCAGAACAAATCTAAATTTAAAACCAGTTACATTTTTTTTTTTAATAATTTTGACACAAAACTCTTGAGTCAATTGAATTTTAGTTGATTCATTGAATGTTATAACTAGTTATCTACCAAGCACTTTTCGGCAGAAGTTCTGTTGGCCTGAAAAATACCTTTAATTTTTGTAATTTTCACATTTTTAAAAAATGTATGATTATTTTATATATATATATATATATATATATATATATATATATATATAGTGTAACCCGATATCCGGTTACACTGTATATATAATAAAGAGAAAGAAATAGTAAGATATATAATCCAGTGTTCTTATTAATTATTTTTACAAAACAGTGCTCAATGAAAATCTACAGAGCATATATATATATATATATATATATATATATATATATTAATCATCAGACAAACTCAGTTTGTCTGATGATTGCAAAACCGTGAAACCCAGGATTACAAACTCATATCAATTCAACTGAAATGTGTGTGTGTGTGTAGAATGTGTAAAATTCTGCATTGAGATTTATGTCATCTTTAGTATGCCATATCTTTTCACGTAGATCATGGGCACTTCTCACAAGGGCCATATTCCATGTGTTAAAAAATACCCATCATCCAAATTTAACGGTAAAGTTGAAATTAGTTGTTTTCTTGCGTGAAACATTTGACATTCATTGAAGAAACAGTTAGCACTTGGGTGAAATTTATAAAGTCCAATAATTTATCATTCTGCCATTGATGGGAGTTTCCTTCCAAACCTTTTGTTTAGGGTAGTGTAGAACATCAACATCTTGATTATATCATTATTTTCCCTTCTAATTACATGTGCTATTTTTGTTGGAAGTGCTCACATGATGCGGCTTTTTCTATTTGGTAAAATTCTTTGGAATTCTGCAGCACTACTCTACAGTCTGATGAAGGATTTTCTTTTAGATCTAAAGGATTAATTTGCTTCAAGTCGTTTTTAATCATTAATCTGAGAACAGTTGTATATAGATGCTATTTTAGACATTTTCAAATGTGTTAGATAACATGCATGACATCCATATGAAAGTCTTAGTTGAAAGGTCACTACTCTGCAACTGACATTATAGCAGAATTATTTTTATATTCAGAATTCAAACATTGCCTCTTGTTGTTGGCTATCAGAAAAGCTCCTCCATAAATTAAGTAAAAAACAGTAGTACAATATATGGTGATTGTTCAATGAGGTCTGAGTTTGTACTTGCCAAAATATTGCGATGAGACTATTTTAGTCAGGAATAATTCCATTTAATCAATTGTTTCATTCAAGTCATTGTCTGCCTTCAGGACCATGGGCCTTGTAAACGGTAGTCAATTCCAATAATGTATGAAAAAAATTATTAAGCTTCATTTAACTGAGTTATTATGGGTAACTAGGTCATCAAAGGTAACTGGGCATATCGATGTGGTCAACAAGCTTCACTTAGTAAATCTCTGTATTCAAACTCATTACAATTAACAGTTGATAAAGTAGTTGATAAAATACTTCAGTTACGGTGATGGCATTGTGCAATGAAACCAGGATGTACTTATAATTTTGTGATGAAATTGCATCACTATTTAAATCAATTAAGTTTATTTGATTTAGTCAAATGTTCTACTCAAGTTGTCATCTACCTTCAGAACTGTGTGCCCAGCAAAAGATAGGCAAGGTAAAATTTTATTTAGGAATGTTAAATTTTGTGACAAAGAAAAAAAACAGCAACCAACTCAAACATTTAATGTATATAATAAACTGCAAATTTCATCTGTACACTCATTTTATGCCTATATTAAATAAAGGCGCAGTATCTGCAAAATTATATATATATATATATATATATATATATATATATATATATACCTTGCTAAAAGCAGTTCTGGCTCTTACCTGATAGTTACCATATATACTCAAGTATAGCACAAGTTATGATGATCAGTTTTTTTTAGGCAATAAATAGAGAGGCTCACTATACAACAGGTATTTTTTTTTTTTTTTGGAAGAGGTTAAAAGTAACTTCTTCAAAAAATTACTTGTGTTTGCATTTTCAGTGACCAGTTGCACTATACTGGATAACTGTTTCTGGAGGGATTAAATTCCATGCAAAAAATTCAGGGGTCACACTATAGATGAAGTCAGTTTATACATGAGTATAAAAGTATAATTAAATACTTTCACAAAAAAAAAAAAAAAAAATGTCAAGTATCTGCAGACTTGCATAATAATTTGATCTGCTCTTAAAGTGTAAGTATATTTATAAGAGACATGTTCATACATTATGATATATATATATATATATATATATATATTATATATATGATTTTTTTTTTTTTTTTCAAATCCACCATAATAGTTTGTGCCTGATGAGTTGGTAGAACCACGAAACTTAAGTTGCACTTCGAAAATAGAGAGAGAGGGTGCAATGGATAAATCATCTAAATTCCATCAACATGAAAATAATACTGACATTTCATTTTAACAAATATTTACCAAAATTACACAAAAATATTATGAAATAATGAAGAGTAAAAAAAAAAAAAAAAAAAAAAAAAAAAAAAAAAACACCATTGGCTTAAACCAGGGACTCTGGATGACTGGAATCTCCTGCAACTCTTCTGAATGATCTCCATAAGTCAGTGAAGGCTGCCATAATCCTTGCCTTCAGTTCATTTTTGGTGTTACAAGGAGTCTTATTCATCTCTTGCTCAACTGCACCTCACACGTCTTGTGGGTTGCAGTCTGGGGAGTTAGGTGGCGAGATGTAAGGGGTAATGTGGTCACCAAAATTGTCTGACAGCCATGAATGGGTTTTCCTGCTTGTGTGGCATAGTGCAGTGTCCTGTTTCCAGATATAGGGCCTTCCAGCAGCCACCCTCTGACTTAAAGCCTTGTTCCAAATGTCTCATTCCAAAATTCTAACATCAGTGTCTTACGATGATCAGGAAGGATTGAGAGTTATTGCATGAAGAATATAGTCCTGCTTAAGACATAAATGACCGTACCATCAACTTTGTATCAAGTTGTATATAAATACTTTTTTCTTTTATCCAATTTATTTTTTTTCTTTCATGCATCTTTACTCTGAGTGGACCAACCAAGTCATCGATTCCAGTTGACCATTCAGACCAAGTCAGTCTTGCAATCAGTTAATTAAAACATAGGGCAAGACAAGACTTGGGCCATAATGATCAACTCTAAGATCAGCCAAGGGGATTAAATTTGAATATGGAGTGGCCAGGGTAGTCGCCATAAGTAGATAACAAGGTACACTCAGGCAGTCCATCCACAAGCCAAAACTGATTGAGAAGGTTTGGTAAATACTCATAGAAGACCATCATGTAACAATCCAAGAAACTGCTCAACAAGTGAGAATAAGCACAGGATCAGTGCACTCCATGTTAATGGAGGATCTCAGCATGCAGATAGTGTCAGCAAAATTCGCCTGCTCATTTCATCCATATAATCCAACTTTTCCTGGTCAAGACCAACACACCTCTTGTTTGACAGGCTCTCTACTCTCTAGACTTGGCACCATGTGACTTCTGACTCTTACTCTATCTGAAAGCCACATTGAATTAGATTAAATTATAAGAAAACTGACAGCAGAGTTCCATAGCATTCCAGAGAAGATGTTACCAGCAGAGTAACAGAACCACTATGAATTACCTAGTTATGTATTTTGAAGGTGATTAAATAAAATCTGAAAATATACAAAATTAATTTCTTATGCCCAAAGATTGGATACTTTTTGAACGCATCTTATATAAATACAAATATAATAATTATAATATATCAAAGAAATAATAATTAAATTATTATATTACTTTTAACCAATATTTACAGGGGTTTTAGGTTAAAAAAATCCATTCATTTTTTTGAAGCTTCAAAAAAAAAAAAAAAAAAAAAAGTGAAGGCGTCAGCATTATTTCTTTCAGTTTTTAAAATAGAAATGATTGTTGTTTATTTTTGGTTGAAATTCTCTATTAAAGCAATGTTTCAGAAAAATTGGTTTCTCAAGAATAGTAACAGTTATTGCTCCCTTCAGTTTTCTTTCCTAGCTTTTTGTTTGAAGTCGTGTGGAATGTCAACATCCTGATTATGTTATTTTCTCTTTCGGTTGAAATTTTAGTTGTTGCAACTTCAAGTCATGTGGTTTTTGTTATTTGGTATACTTTTTTTTGGTTTGTGATTCTGTAATTCCAGTTCACAAGGTTCAAAACAGGATGGTCTTCTCTAAGATGTACAGGACACATTTACTCGCAGCTATTTTTAATCATTGATCTTAGAAAGCGGTTGTATTCAACTGATAATTTCTGAACAAGCTGGACACCATGCATGACATCCATATGAGTCTCAATCTGACAAGGTTATTTAAGAACATGACTAAAGTTTTTAGATAAATATTTTAGCTTTGTAGCATTTTGTGTTATTGGACAAAACTACACATAGCACAGCTTATTCTGTGTCCCAGTTCCTTACCCCCTATGTTAAATATGTTGCTGTTGGATAAGTGTTGTAGAATAGTTTTCACAGTGGAGGCTTGTATTTCGCTAAGTCGGTCCTAAAAGGGTCCAGCGTACAAAACATTAGGAACTTGAAAATAATAGTTAATGACGCAGCAATCTAGTTGTGGTCATTGATACTTCAATGTCAGACATCGACTGAC